GAAAACAATTATTTTATTTAAAGCCTTATTAGTAAACCTAATATTCAATTACCAATTAGTTATGTATATATTAAATGGTTTATAAATGTTGCTGTTTTTGGTTATTAAAGCAGCAAATTGTTTAGTAAATACAATATTATTTACAAAATTAATTGATTTTAAATATAATTTTATAATTTAATTAATTCTGTGAAAATGGTGTCAACATATTTATGAGTATTTTTTGAAAATTTATTGATTTATAAAATTTATAATTAAATATTTATTTAATGTTAAAATTTTGTGTGTAATTTATATCATGTAATTAGGGGTAAGAATAATGCAATTGTTATGAGTTTTGGTAATAATGTGTGAAATGCAAACACACTTATCCCGATATTTATTACAACAGAGTGCTTAAAAAATCCATATATTGTTAATTTAATATAAATTCAATTGTTTTAAAACAAAATGCAAATGAATAGTAATTTAGTGAAAACAATAAAACAGTTAAACACAAGAGAAATGCATTTAAAACAAAAATATTATTTTTTGACATTGAAATCGGTATATATTGTCAACACATGTATTGTTTGTTTCCGTATTGGGATCTCAAATAAATTAGATATAAATTCTGGTAAACAAATCGTAAATAATATTAGCATTGAATTGAAATTAAGATCAGAAATACAACAAATATTATGAACGGAAGGATGAAAAGTGTAATCATTAAAAGTGATTGTGATTGACATTCATTGAGGAAATGCTAGTTTCGTATATGAAAACTATTGTTGCAATGAATCCATTATAACATCGCAAACAATATGTACTGTCATTACGATTAGAGAGACAGACAGACACTTGTATTCAGTTTCCAACACTTGAAAAAATGCCAAAACATTTAGAGGACAAACATGTCTATAATTAATGAGTTTTGGATTAAGTCTACAAAAATACAATACATTATACAATGACTACAACTGTATGTTTACTTCTGTATTCTTCTTCTCCTAATGCTATTAATATTAAACTATTTTCTCATTAAATTCTACATTAATTTTAAAATATCCATAAAATGGTATAAAAATGTTTTTATACAATATTTATTATATAATTTTGTAAACTTTTGTAGCAATCGGACCAAAAGGGACTAGAGATCGGAATCTTATGAACACTAAGTCAGTATAACTTGGCTTTTAGTTCATCACAAAATATTTATTATATGTCATGATTTATGACTTTTACAATAGTTGGCAATTCTTATACAATAGACTTTTGAATAGACAATTAATAAAAGTAATCAATGGCTTATTGATTGGAAATGCATATATGAACATATCACTATAATACTGTATAAACGAGTTAACATTCTTACAGGAATTGTAATATTGAATTTTAATCCAACCATAACTCCTAACAATTTTACAGTTAATTTGTGAAAATTTTGAATAAAACATAAATTTGTTTATAACTAAATTTCCGCTCTCTGCACTTTTATATAACATAAAAATAGTTATATAATAAATGGGATATTATAATAGTTATTATTGTAAATTTATATAAAGTTAACATAATAAACCATAAATGTAATTTCTATGGGGTATTGAGTTTGCATTAGGGTTTTGAAATTCAACCAAAAATGTTATAATGAAAACATCAAAAAACATTTAATGACACAAAAATGCACATAAAATGCAAAAACTGTTTATCATATAAAAAGACAGCAAATTCTGTGAAAGCCGTGAATAATGAGCGCACGATATGATAGATCTGTATTAATGTTGAACAACAAAAATGTGAACCCGTTTTGTGGACCCATTTTACATGAATTGTGGGTTTCGTTTGGGTATATATTGTGTGCATAAGTGTATTGCACAACACTTTCACCCCATTTATCACTTTATTTCACTTTTAATTAAATCTCACCAAAAGGTCGGCAAATATATAGAGATATACTGTATATTACTTTTTACTATACCTGAAGAAGAGTCAGTTTATTGACGATAAAGAGTGGGCTTTAAGAGTACCAATTCTGGGCTCAACGAAACCTGTTATTCATTTAATTGAAAATTTCAATCACAGCCAGAATTCAAGTTTTATAGTGAAATGAATAGTTGAGATCAAAGCACTTCTCATAGCAATTATGTCTCATTTTTGGTTTATATCATATAATATGATATATGGAGAGGTATTTTCCCAAAACATTTGCTCATAAAATAAGTGATATCTATATTTCTGATCCGATGTTTGTTTTAATCTAATAGTCTCTAAAAATAGCAATACTTTACGACACGATTTGCGTTAAAGTAATCGTTTTGTTTAGTTTATGAACTGCTCTTTCGGTTGAATACAGAAATCCAAACATCAAATTGAAAACCGAAAGTTTGGCACAAAAGTTAAATATTATAATTGATTGTAATATTTATATAATAAGTTATAGTGAACAACACTTTCACCCCATTTATCACTTTATTTCACTTTTAATTAAATCTCACCAAAAGGTCGGCAAATATATAGAGATATACTGTATATTACTTTTTACTATACCTGAAGAAGAGTCAGTTTATTGAAATAGTCTGTTGCAGTAAAACTAAAAAGAGTTTTGTGTTGAAATCAGTGAATCGTTGATAAAAAGCTAAACTATAATGACATTGAAAGTAAATTTTGTGTTTTGCAAAACAACTTCTCGTTTATTAAATATTGCTTTCAATTGAGTAAACGATTAAAAAATTATTTCGTGTTTAAAACTAAACGTCATTTCATATCATTATATTCACGGATTCGGCGATCAAATGAAGTGATCATCAGTTTTTCCACTGAAATATTGCAATATTTTTTCATTTGCTTTAAATGTGTTTCTGTTTAAAATATATGCGAATATTTGCCATTAATATAATTAAAATTAAATAATAATTATAATAATGCATTCATTAATTGTGTTAATAGTGTTAACAGTATTTTACATATTAGTAGATGTGAGCACTTGTGTGCAAATTAATTATGTTTACCATAACTACACTTCAATGACCGGTATATTAAAGAGTATTAACAAAACCAATTCAGATCTCGTGTATCTCTACTCCATTGGGAAGTCGGTTGAAGGCAGAGAGCTATGGGTTCTCCTCATCACTAAGTATTGCATTTCATATTAATTTCTTATTAATTATCATAACTATTAAGAATATTCTACAAAAATTTAATTAATAAATTTTGTATTAGAATAAAATCAATGATTAATTATAGAATATTATTGTTAATATTAAAAACATATGGATTGTTATTATATAATTGATTGATTGATCCGATGATAGAGATCCTGCTCGGGAAGTGGTGCTGAAGCCAAACGTGAAATATGTGGCTAATATGCACGGCAATGAGGCGGTGGGCCGGGAGCTGATGCTTCATCTCATCGCTTATCTCATCAATAATAGCAAAAATAAAGTGATAAAAAATCTATTGGAAACGACAAGAATCCATATCATGCCGTCTATGAATCCGGACGGCTTTGAAATGAGCCTCGAAGGCAAGTGT